CACTTCACTTCCTTGGTGATGGAACTCTCTGAACTTGGGATCCAGGAGGCGAGGCACTCAGAGGCAGTTTCAGTCCCAGTGGGCTCACTTGTTTGTCCGAACCAAGGCCAGAGCCATTCTTTCTTGGCACCTAGTGATGTGTGGATAGCCAAATGCTTTGAATGGTCTGAATAGGGGCCTTTCCTGAGAAAAAAAAAAGTGTTGGCTCATTGCTGCCTCCTGACAACTACACAGAGATAGCCAAAGAGACCAGAGCTGAGATAGGACAGGCCACTGCTGGGAAACCTATTTTCACCCACCAGTCAGAGGACAGAGTGGATGGATGCAGACCAAATACAGGGGTGGTTTGTGTGTCTTAGTGGGTGTGTGTTTCAATTGGTCATTTTGTCTCATGTTCTGAGAACATAAAGAAAAAAGGTTTGTTTATTTTTGTTGTTGTTCTTGTTGCTGGTTTGAAATGGATTGTTAACGAGTGAGTGTTTCTATGTCAGTGGATCCCACTGGGTTTGTGGTTAAAGAGAGTAGAGGGAAGAATGCAGCCGTGAATGTGTCCTTTCTAGTGGAAATCTTTGCAGGACTCCTCATGGCCAATTGCTGAATGGACTTGGGCTTGCCTTGCAGATATGCAACATCTACCAAGATGCTAAGTTCCTGTATTCTTCCTGAATTTTGGCCACTCTCTGAAGGGGTTAGTGTTTTTGTTCCAAGATGGGTACCACCTTCAAGCTCTGTGACATGGCCATGGACTGGATTGCTGACAGGAATGCCAAGCATCTCAGAAAAGTCAAAAAGTAGCATGACTGGTAAGGATCTCTCTGGAGAATCCCTGCTTGGATAGATAGCCACCCAAGTTGCATGATTAGGAGCTGGCAGTGCCACAGTGTTCAATTCCAGAAAAGTTTTTCTCCAGGCTTCTTTCCTCCCTATTGTTCTGTTCCCCTGAATGTCAGGGAGGTGTTTGCCTTAGGTCACTCCTTTGGGAATCCTCAAGAAAACAGTTTCAAATGGAATTGAAGAGGCCCAATCTGTGCCTTTTAGGTGAAGTGCTTTGTAAAAGCTGTTTCTGAATCAGACGCTTGGCCCTGTGTGTGGCTGTGAATTACATTCTCAGCACCCCAGGAAACTCAAGTAAAATCCCATGTGTCCATTCACGTCTAAAAGGATGAAAAAAGAAGTGTAATATTGGATGGCGTCTCTTGCCTTTCTGTGGTCAGGCTGTTGACCCTGATGAAGTAAGAACAGGGATCCTCTGGGTCAAATGAGTTGTTGCAAGCCCTCCGGTAACTAGCACACAGGTGTTTGGTTTTTTTCATGAGTCTAGTACACATAAAGATTCTACCCCTGGCAGGCAGGAGGCCTTGAATTTGAGAAGCAGATCTGTATTCATTAACTACAGGCCCATTTTATCTATCCTGTTTCTTAGGAAGGGTGTCCAGGCCACCATGGCATTTGGCATATGATGGGCATGAGAGCTTACTTTGCACATCGTCTTAGACTGCTCCCCCTATGGAAACCCACAGCCAGAATGTTATGATGAGTGTCTGTATGGAAGAAGATGAGGGCCATGTGGGAGTGTTTTTGTTAGAATAGTGGTCTTTTGTGTGGTGGTTGGAAAAGATGACCGGGTCCATCTCAGCTTGAACTCTGGTGTTATGCCATTAGAGACTCAGTTCTGGAACTGATCTCAGAGAACTGTTGCCATGAATTGTGTTGGGATTTTACAAGGCCAGGCATTAGAGGAGCCTTTAGAAACTGAGATCTAGGCCTAGGGTGGCTTTCTTTACAGCACTGGGGATCTCAGCCAGGATTTCACATGATTTTGCTGTTAAATCCTTTTCAGCTATAGTTGAGAGCCCAAACTCACATGACCCTCATATTTTAGACCCCAATGTGCCTGGATTCCTGTGACCTTTGGCCACTCCTTGAAAAGCCTTGCCTGCCTGCAATCTCCAGAGCTTTTACTGAAAGGAGATTCCTCAACCCTTAATGGCTCCTGAATGAATCCAAACCCACAGTGCCAACTTCTTCCTTCTTGAAATATGGCTAGGCCAATAACATGAAGGTTTTGAGAATCCCATGACCAGAAATCCCTGGAGAACCTTGAGATCTCCTGTTGCTCATCATGACAGAACCAGCCAGTGCCGTTTTTAACTTAGTCGAATTCATGACCATGGTGAAGAACAGAGATGCCAGTGAGTAGGAGCCAGCAGGGAATTGGGCCTGGAACAATATAGTCCAGGTGTGTGACCAACATCTGTGTTGAGCCACTGTGGTTCTGTCATTGGCTTCCAAATAACATGTGATTGACAAGGTGCAGCCAGCAGACCTTAAAATATAAAGGCATGTTGTTGTGGGGAGAGGATCTGGTGCGATGCTCAGAATCAAGTTGCTATGCTCAAGTGGGAAAGATATATGGTGTAGCAGCCCAGTTTGTGTTTTTTCCTTCAGACCCTGACTCACCCCACGTGACAGAGCTCCCTCCAGCACTGTGTCTCGGTTGACTTTTATGGATTTCAAAAACAAACACCAAACTTCCAGGGAAGCTGCAAGAAATACCATTAAAACTGGAGGGTGAGCCAAAGGCTTCACAATCCACCCAGGGAGACACTCATACCCCAATGGTCACAGTTACCTACAAAGAGAAGATTCAGCTCTGCTGCCTCCTGTTCATATTGGAAAATATGAAACCATGTCCTCCTGTTCACCGAGACTGAGACCAAGCTTTCATGGTCTCACTGCAAAGGAAGCCAAAGCACAAAGCTATATTGCTAGTGCACAAATGTCAGAGGCAGATAGTCAAGAAGTCATTAGGCCAGCAAAGTTCCATGTTCGTGGAATGTGTACCCTGTCCCCTACTTTTGGGATCTCTTCTGCCACATCCAAGTTTGTGAGCTCCTCAGAATTTCCAATTCTAGATGTGTATTCACAGATTATTTTCCTCTTCTCCTCTCATTGTGTCTTATTTGGGGTGATAGTAATTTCAAGGCATTGTGGTGGATAACCATGGAAGATTTTTATGTGGCACGTGTTCGCATATATATATATATTAGACTCATTTTCCGTTTTGCCACTTGAAATATTGAATCTCTGACACTAACCCATAACCTACTGGACTCTGACTACTTATGGTAACATCGATAAAAATAATCCTAAAGAATACAAGTAGAGGCATTTGATAGGAGACATGGTGTATGCATTGACTTGTATTTTTCTTCATCAGAGATACATGCAATAAAACCTGTCACACATTTTTCTCCTTTTATTTTTCCATGAATTTTCAAAATTAACAAATATGTAACTTCCTGACTCCCTGTCTCTGTCGCCTGGGTCACAATGTATATTATTATATACACATATATAATCCTACTGCCATCATGGGTATATTCTTCAGAGGACTCTGATTTTGGAAAATACAAATTTCATGAAGATATCACTGGCCCCCCCAATACACTGCGGTAACTGAAGATTAAAGCTTTGGTGAGCTTTTTCTTCAACAAGTTTATACATGATACAATATAGAGGAAAATGAATATTTTGGGTACATATTTTAAGGATATATATCCCCTTATGAATTTCCATTGGCATAAGTATTATTACATTTTAATATATTAAATGTATATTTCCAAACACCATACAAGCTTTTAACCTTCTCACCCTCATTAAGACTAAAATCTAAAAAAGGAGGTAAACCAAGAAATGTTGATTTCACAAAAGTCAAGGAAACTCTCAAAATGAAACAAGGGACTATATTGATTGGTCAACAGCCTAAGCTACTAGCTGGAAACTAAGGCAAGACATAGCTTCCTTGACCTGAATTTATCATGGCTAACATTGATATCTTAATGAAATATCTTCTACTTCAAAAGATTCATTATTGAGATGCAATAATGTAAATAAAAATGATGTGATTACTATACAAATTACAGTAGTTAGTACAGAGGTTCTTCTAACCTGAGCCAAACCTTTTATAGAGTTAAAATTGTTCCATAACCTACCTCCATCATTGCCTCTAATTTACCACATCAGGTTTTATCAAACTGGTTTGAATGTGGGTAACCTCAGTCTAATTGAAATGCAATGAGTCCCACTCTGAAGTGTTTCAGAAACAAGACCTACTCAATGATACGAATCTCTCTTTCAGTACAGTAGGAGTAATGTATTAAATCCTTATGATCTTTCTGGGATAAACTCTAAACTCAAGCAGGCAGCTCATGAGCCACCACAAAGCTATAGATAGAGTAAGCAATGATTTGAAATTCTGGTAAACAGTGCCCTGAACTTCAGAAATCATAAAAGCAGCTGAATGCAAGCTGGGTCTGAAGCCCTCTGGCTTTTAGGCATAATCAATAGTGAAAGTAAAAATACACAAATATAAATGTGTCTCTACTTAACTCTGGACCTTTCACCTCATACATTTTTATTAAAAGACATTTGAAAAAGTACAAAGGTTGCTTATATTTCCTTTTTTTCATAATGATGTATTAGAATTGTTCTATTGAAAACATATTTTGGCTCAGTAATTCTCACTTGCAATATGTGTACCATTTTAAGACCCAATAAAAAGGGGGGAGGGAATAATATTGCAGAGTAAATATTCTTGGACAGATGGAACCCTGTATTCCCAACATGTTGGAAAGGAGGAGAAAGTACTTATTTGAGTATTTCCTATGGAGCAGAAAAGTAATGGAACTGAGATAATGACACACTGGAGAACTAGAAAAATGCATATACTTTGGACAGAAACAAGCCTGGGTTAAAATCCAGCTTTTCATTCTTTGGCTCTGTATCTTTTTAGTGAATTTGCAATCTCACTAAGACTCAGTTTCCAGTAATTTGAAAGTAATAGTATTTACCTTCCATAACTGGTATGTGGACCAAATAGGCTTAATCAGATAAAGTGTACAAGTGACTGAACCATGATTGGAGTTTGGGACTGAATCAAGTGGATGATGACATTGTTGATGACATAACAAGAAGACATGAGAGAAAATGCAGTTTACAAAAAAAGAAATTGATGCCAATGCTTAAAAATTGTTGAGCAATAATTGCGCTCACAGAATAATTTAAGAAAATCAAAAGTGTTTATGAATCAGTATTTGCTCTAAATTGTAATAAGTCTATTTAATTTCATAGAGAAACATTCTTATTATCAAAATTCAGATTAATAATTCTGAAAATAAGAAAATTTCTCTATGAAACACTTAGGCCAAATATAATTTAAACAAAAATAATGTAACCAGCATTACTGAAAGCTTACCATGTGATAAAATGCAATGTTTAAAGTTTTAAATACATTTTCTTTTGGGTTAACTCCTATAAGTTATATGAATTAATGGCTTTTAGTGTAACATTTCCATGTAGACATAGATTGTATTCACTCTCCCTTATTCTATCCTCTTGCACATTTATTTTATTATTAATCCTCTCAAGAATCTTTCTGTAACTACTTCTCCATTAGTAGCTGTACAATGTGGAATCAGGGACCCTAAGCAGGTTTTAAAAACAAATCTCTTGGATTCCTGAGACTGTGAAATTTCTGCTTCTGTTTTACTGAAAAGCAGATTATCAATGAGATATTAAGCTCCATACTTTTACCAAAATAATATTACTAAAAGGGCAAATGTGAAATGGAATCATATGGAAACTGCTTTCTAATCTCAATCCCTCCTTAAATAAAGTTTAGCATTCACAAAGGGTAATTGCATGCATTATTTATCTCATCTTTAAAGCACAAGTTTGGCATTATTGTAATTTCCAGTTTGTCTCTAATGTTTAGAATGGTGCCTAGCACATAGAAGTTGTTCAATAAATCTTACCTATGTGATGAACACATAGATGAATAAGTGAATCCCTTTGTAGCAAATTACCTAGAGTCTTTGTTATGAGAGATGTAAGGCTAAGGTAGAATGCATGGTGTGATAGACTTATGATGTATGCCACAGCCGTGATACAGCCTATGTCATATTATTGTCATACTTAGGTGTAAATCCTAGTGGATAAGACTAATGTAGCTTTAAATCACCTGGCTTAATACTATAGACAGATGTTTTAGTTAGCTTTTTTGTTGCTGCAATCCAAAGACCTGACAAGAATAATTAGAGGAGGAAATGTTTATTTGAGGGCTCACAATTCCATAGGTCTCAGTGGATAGAAGGCTGACTCCATTCCTTGGGGCCTGAGGTGAGACAATACATCATGGTGAAAAAGTGTGGTGGATGAAAGCAGATCAGGAAGCAGAGAGAAAGCTCTGCTCAGCAAGGGCAAAATATAAACCCCAAGGCACATCCCTAAAGCCCAGATCCTCCAGCCACACCCTACCTGCCTACAGTCACCACTCAGTTAATCCCTATCAGGAAATTAATGCAGTGATTGAGGTAAAGATCTCATAACCCAATCATTTCACCACTAAATCTTCTTGCATTGTCTCACACATGAGCTTGTGGATAATACCTCACATCTAATTGATAACAATAAGATATAAGAGAAATTGCAGTTAAAAAGAAAGAAAAAAAGAAAAAGAAGAAATTGGTGTAAATAGATTGGCTTCCAAAAGTTCAATCTTGAAAAATATAAGAACTAAGAAATTGAAATTTACAAGGACTGGCACACAAGTCTGAGAAGCAAATTTCCACAAGTTCAACATGGCAATAACCTTCTCAGGATCTAAATCCAAATGCCTCAACTGGGGAAGTTAGAAGATTGAGGGCTGATTCACAAAGAATATAAAAAAAAAGTCTCAGAGGATTTCTTAACAGTTTGAGTCAAGCACAGTTTAGAGAGTACTGTGCCATAGTGGAGGGTCTGGCCTCTCTGGTTTTCCTGTGCAGTAAACCCCTGTGTGGAAATAAATACCTCCACTCAGTTTAGCCTAGTCAGGTTAAATATTCATAATATTTATAGCTAATTCATCTTTCATCTACAGTGTGCTAACTCAAGTGCCTGAATATAAATACACTAATAACTTGATATTTTTCTTGACAGCCTTAGATAAGGACAAATTGTGGTAGAAGTCATGGTACCTCTATATCATTCAGGATGGGTCAAATTAGATTATTGTGAAAACAATCCCAAAATCACAGTAGCTTACAGATCAAAAGTTTGTTTTCCATGCTGTGTTCAAATGGTTTGGCAGCAGGCTTCTGCTTACTGCAGTAGCACAAAGAAGCAAGACAAGGGTGGCCCCATCTTCACACATGCTTCCTCAGAAGAAGAGATGACCTTCAGATGAAAGTTTCCAGGACCAAAGAGTTCTTTGGGAATTCTTGATCAAAATCAAAGTCTTTAAGTTAACATACTGTAGAATAAGAAGAAGGAGAAGGAGAAGGAGAAAAGGAAGAAGAAGGAGAAGGAGAAGGAGAAGGAGAAGAAGGAAGAAAAAAGAAGAAAGAAGAAAGAAGAAGAAGAAGAAGAAGAAGAAGAAGAAGAAGAGGAGGAGGAGGAGGAGGAGGAGGAGGAGGAGGAGGAGGAGGAGGAGGAGGATGGAAGAGGAGGAGGAGGAGGAGGATGGAAGAGGAGGAGGAGGAGGAGGAGGAGTATAAAAGAAGAAAAAGAAGAAGGAGGAGGAGGAGAAGAAGGAAGGAAGGAAGGAAGAAAGGAAGGAAGAAATGCGTGAGTGTGTGTGTGTGTGAAGAAGAAGAAATGCGTGAGTGAGTGAGGGTGTGTGTGTGTGTGTGTGTGTGTGTGTGTGTGTGTGTGTGTGTGTGTTCTGAGTGATGTGGTGTCTATTAAATGAAGAAATTCATCCTATTTTCCATAATGACACAAAGTTTTATTTTTATCATATATCACATTTTATTAAAAAATTCCTTGGATTTATACAAAAAGATTTAGCTAAAATAGAACAATAAAAAATTTAATTCTATGTAACAATTTCTTGGTATATATTGGAAAAATCTACCATAATGGTTGCTCATAAGGGTTCAAGACATGGTCAGTCTTTCATTTAGGATTTGGTTTTTCTAAACAATTCATATTCTAAATCCTGGGGGATTTACTATGAGGTGCTCTATTATCATTCACAGTTATAGCATTTCATGACGTAAACATTCAAAGAGGAATAATTCCTAGTTTGGATGCATGTTCTTGACTCATTCATCCATTGCCAGAGGACTACTGGGCAGAACAGGTTAAACTAAAAGAAAACGTTAGCTGGCCTGTCCAAAGAATACATAACATCAGGACACAAAGCTCAGCTCAGCCTGACATTTTCCAATTATGGTATAATTTCTCTTGTCTGCATTTCTAGAGG